AGCAGTGCAAGTACTTGTCACCACCTTTATGATGAGGATGATATGAGGACAGAGTTCTTGCTGTAGATCTGTGCTGTAGATGGCATTTTGAAACAAAGAGACTCACAAATTACAGCTTCTGCTACAGCTGGTCACAGCTGAGTACTTATGGCATGTAACGTCAACATGTTGACGGCATCGGGGCATTTTGGTCGAATATATTTCCAGAAAACAAAGGTTGATATCTTGTCAAAGCAAATGCAAAATTAAAAACAGTTTGCTTTCATCCTCTCTGAGTGGAGGAGGCAGGCCTTGCACGGGAATTTTGACGAAACTATAAACGTAAAACAATATGAATGAAAGTAGAAGTCTTTCTTGTCTAAGCACAGAAGAAAATATGTAAAAGCAGTGTGTGTTTGTGAGAAACAGCTTCCCTCTGTGTGGTTTCAATAAGAAAGAAGGGTAACTGTAAACGGTGGCGGCCTGAACTGAAAGATGAATGAGACACGAGTAATAAAAACAGGATGTCAGAGGAGCAGCCACAAAACTGCTGTTCAAGGGCAGCTCCTTTATTACCCACACAGCTGTCCAGTGTAAACACTAGAACACCACAATGCAGAGCGAGCTCAGGTCTGTCAGCAACTAATAAACGATCAGTACAAACTTTTAAAAGCACAGTTTCAGTTCTATGTAACATTTGGAAACCAGAATACATCCAAGACTTCCTGCTTTTCTACAAATCCTTCTGAGAGTCCAGGGATACGTTTTAGGTTTAACACAGTTGGTTTTAGAAGAAGCGGCACTGAACAAAGTGAGCAGATGATGAGCTCACGGCTTAAGGGAGCGATTGTCCAGGGGAGGGGCCCAATATTCTGATTAACAGCAGAAGAATGTCCCGCAGTGATGATGCAGAGGTCACGCACACATGAAAGAGGTTTAACTGGTGGACACGGCGCAGAAATTTGAATTATAACAGACATGTGATCAGAAACGTTTAAACTGCAAATTTGAATATCACATAATTACAGAGCACGAGACTGAATCCAAAGTACGTCCACGCTCATGGGAGGGAGCGCCGACTGAACGAGATTAAAAGAGTCAGTAAGGTTCAGCACGTCTTTCACAAGAGGTTTCAAAGTTGACAGAAATATCAGCAGTCAGCATCTAAAACTGTTAAAATGGTGAATTTGCAGACTGTGGTTAAGTTTAATGACTCCCTGTGATTCTTTATGGCGAACAGTCAATGACAGCTTACATCAATTATTCTTATTTATATTGTGAATTTATCTAATTTGATGATTTTTGATTCGATTAATTCGTTGAATTCTACCTTTGTTACTGGCGTTACAAATCAGCCTCACAGTGTTTGTAACATCTGCTTATATCTCGCTGAATTCAGCTGGAGCCCTGAATCCACATGTCAGCTGATCACAGCCTGCAGCTCACAAAACGAGCGATTATGTGACTTGTAGTTCTTTTCCACACGGTGCTCTTAGGGTTCATGCCAAATCCTATTTTAACACTTCCTGGCTGCTGTTGATGGTTTTAAATACACAGCATACAGAGCTGAGCTCACACTGCTGTTAGAACTAAATTATATGTAGCCTGAGAGACAGCACTATACTTGCTTTAAAGATTGTTACTTTGAGCACATGATAACTACTCGAGGAAATACAGATGAGACTATCAGGACAAAATGAGGAGAACATTACATTTAGAAAGCTACACTAGGTATAACACAAGGTTATAATAATCATATCTGAGTTATCAGTTATTATATGAATAGCATCGTGCTACTCTCTGACCACTCACAAGTTTCCCTTCAGTTCATTTAATTGCATTAACCCAGAGTCAGCCAGCACTGATGCTGATTGGAGAAGAGGAGGCAGGTCCACATGAGTCCATTTGGTGAGGTTGCTTTGTTATCAGTTGTAACTCCTTTGCAGAGTTTACTTGTCAAAGCCAAAGAGCAGCTGATGTGTTTTCAGCAGTGTTGGTCAAGTTACTAATTACTGATTACTTCCCCCAAAA